GGGGCATAGAGGAGAAACAATAATGTACAGTATGTGGGAAATAATGTTTTTTTGAACCTAAAACTTACATAAACACATTTAATTACACCAAATACACAATTGTCAAGGCAGAATTTCAAACACGACCAATCATATTAAACAGAGACATAGAGCATAATTTAAATAAATTGAAATTTTGAGTTCATTACACTTAAAATCTTAATTAGAAAGAGTTTTGCTCCCAGATGAGTTAAACATGTTTAATTTTTGACACCAAAACTTGGCATTTTAAGTAATATTAAGTTATGATAACTTGATTTCTTTATTAATGACAACATTGGGGTTTACAGTGTATGAAATATCAGTTTACATTTCCAAACATTCCTTTTGCCATTAATGGTAATAATTCAGTGAGATCTTTGTTTGCACAATGAGTCTGACAGCAGCCAGTGCTCCACACAGAGATCTGATCATCATCATTAAGAAGAATCATCATGAAGAGACAGAACAAACTGAGACAGACTCAATCCAGAAGAACTGTGATGCTTGAAGAAACCTTCCTGAACAACTATGTGCAAGTGTAGCAAGGACAAAAGCTGTTTTAAATGCAAAGGATGGTCACACCAAATATTGGTTTGATTTTGTTAATAGAAGTTAATTGATAAATAAAATCTATTTATGACATTATTTTTGAAAGCAGCATTTTTACACAAGTGCCTAACACTTTTAACAGTACTGTAGCTTTGCAGGAAGGTTTTTTGAAGCATCTTGGAGACGTTGCCACAGCTCTTCTGGATTTAGTCTGTCTCAGTTTGTTTTGTTTCTTCATGTAATCTCAGACAGACTGGATGATGATCAGATCAGATCAGAATACTAGTGGCCTAAGACTTTTGCACGGTAGTCCTGTCCTGTAATACTGTCCTGTGCATTGACTTTTTTTAATGTTTGTGACGGCTGTCGGGAATTTTCCTTTTTACCATTTGGAGTATCACTGTTAGTGAAAGACTAAAATAATTTGGCTGAATTAACAAAATACTGCTGTTGTGCTGATCTTGGACTTTTAAACAAGCAAAAAAAAAACTGAACTAGGGAAGTGAAAATAATTCGTATGAAATTTTGACCATTTTGGCTATAATTAAATATGGAGTTACTGTGAAAATGAAGCATGAAGTCTGCCATGAAAAATCCTGTACCTTTCTTTTAGTACAATCTGCATGAAAATACCAGTGGCCAGACCTCTTTTATTGCTTAAACATATTGATAAGCAGATGTCAACCAAATGCATCTAATATGAGATTTCATTAAAAAGTTATAAGAATGTTTCAAGGTAAATATAAGCAGAGCTCTACATTTGTGGCATAATGACAACTACCACAAAAATATTTGTACATTCAAATACACACTTTAGCCAAAAGACTAACCTTTAAGTTTTCACATGATTAAATTGTTCACAGGAAGACAAGTATGTTGTTTTATTACAGTTCATCAGTGTGATTCTTGTTGACTGTTGAATTTTTAAGACAGAATGAGAAGGGTTCATTTGCTAGGATGAGATATTAATTTAGTCATATTACAGGATTCCCGTGGGCCCTTAAATGTCTTAAATTTGGTTTGATCAAATTTAAAGGGATACTCCACCCCAAAATGAAAATTTTGTCGTTAATCACTTACCCCCATGTCGTTCCAAACCCGTAAAAGCTTCGTTCGTCTTCGGAACACAATTTAAGATATTTTGGATGAAAGCCGGGAGACTTGTGACTCCCATTGACTGCCAAGTAAATTACACTGTCAAGGTCCAGAAAAGTATGAAAGACATCGTCAAAATAGTC